TAGCCTATCTGCAGGGATGAAGTCCCCTTTTCCTTATTGCTTTTCCTAACAGTGCATTTCCTCACATTGTTCACAGTGATTGTCTGCATGCAAGTGGTCTGGACTCCTATTTACCCCCATCTCAGGAGTTCTATAGACTTATGGGAAGTTGTTTTATTGCCTTTACCTCCTCTTTCCTTTAGGGATACTTTCACTCAAATATTATGCTTAGGTTTTTTATTGGAAAAAATAGAAATAGATTTGTTTCAGTTCTTATAGATCTAAACAGCCTCATGACTTAGACATTGATTTTGCTCACAGGAATATATGAGGGGGAAAATTCTTTTACTATAGTTCTTGATTTTAAGAATTCTGTTTTATAAATTCTGAGCCAAATGTTTATGAAAATATCCTTTTAAAAAAGTGGTGACTAGTCCTGGCCAGTGTGGGTCCAGTGCACCAAAAGATTGCCAATTCAATTCTGGGTCAGGACAATTGAATTCCCTATTCATGCAGGAAGCAGCAGATCAATGTTTCACTCTGTGCAGGAAGCAGCCTATCAGTGTTTCACTCTCACATCGATGTTTCTTTCTCTCCCTCCCTCTCCCTTCCTCTCTCTCTAAAAATCAATTAAAAATATATATTTTTAGAAAGTGGTGACTTAAGTGCAGGAATATCTAGTTTGCTTATGACCACCCTCCTTTCTTGCTTTTGCAGGCCCTGTCCCCCTATCAAATAATTAGGTTTGATTACATGCCTAGTGTTTTCATGTAGGTTTCAGTTAAGCTAAAAGCTGAATGCTTTGGGACCAAAACCAGACTGAAAAATCACCAGACTGAAACACTGTTTTTACTTAATTGGATATAAATACACAAATGAACCAGGCCAAATATCATTTTCAGCCCAAATAAAGTCCCAATCAGAACAACAAAAAAAACACCTATATACCTGAGATTCTTCAGTGATTAGAGCAATCACAGCTTTTGAATAGCTAAAATAATGACATTAAACTTCCATTAAAAAAAAAAATTGGCCAACAGCCAAGCTTCTTTGACTCAGTCTTCAAGTCGACTGCCAAATGTTCTTAGACCAGGTATCTCTTAGGGTGGGGGAGGAGGAGGAGGGAGTCTGTTGTTACAATATACTTGTTTAAAAGAGTTCTCTAAATCTCAGTAAGTAGCCAATTTAGGAAGGATTTGAAGATTGAATAATAGCTGACTTTGAGATTTCTTTTTTCTTATTTTATTTATTTTCTTCATAAGGAGTGTGAAGCCTTTTAAAGGTACAATGGAGGCAGTGTACTGTAGGGGAGAGATCATGGGCTTTAAAGCCATTTAGAACTTGGGCTTGAATTGAATCACAGCTCTGCAGCTAACCAGCTGCCTGGACTTTAGTCAAGCTTCTGTACCTTTTCTTGTTTATAAAATTTGGATATTAAAATACCTATTCCATAAGATTGTTAATGATTAAGCAAGATGACACTAAGCTTAGTGTTGAACTGACACATGGTAGGAGCCCAATGCATGTTCTCTAAACCTTTTCCTAAATTTAATGGAGTAGAGGCTTTTAATGAATAAAACTGTGATTTGGATGAGAAAGTCATGAAAATCTGTTTTAATTTTCTAAATTTAGAAGCTAATCTTTGAGCACTGACTAGACACTATGGGAATTTTTTTTGTTGTTGTAAGGCCCAGTCCTAACAATCTAGTGGGAGAGAAGGACATGAATAATAAAATTACAGAATATGATAAGAGGTACAAACAATGTCCTATTGGAATTTATAGGGTAGGAGAGAATTCTGACAGGGTGGAGAGGCATTGAAAAAGTGCTCATTGTAAGTTGTGTAACCAAGTAGATATAGTCTTTTTTAAGGAATAATATATAAATTACAGTTTGGGGCATATTATCTTTTTTTATTGATTTCAGAGAGAGGGAGAGAGAGAAAAAGAAACATCAATGATGAAAAAGAATAATCTGTCCGCTGCCTTCTGCACGCCCCCGACCAGGGATCAAGCCAGCAACCCAGGCATGTGCCCTGACCAGAAATCAAACCATGACACTCAACCACTGAGCCACACCGGCTGTGCTGGGCATATTGTCTTTAAATGTTGAGGCATATTTGAGTATCCAGAAATTTGACTTAAATAATATTATCCAAGCATATGTATGTAATGTAAACTACTTGGTCATAATGTTCTCATATTTCAGTTTTTATAGGAATGAATGCATCTTGGAATCTCTTGCTATCAGTGTCACAGTGAAATATTTTGAGTACTAATCACAGTTTTGCAAGTGAATTTCATTCAAGCTCCAAAAATAGTTTGTGCTTGTTACGAAAATCACATGGCTCAGATCCATATTTTAAAAAAATGACTTTTGTTTTCTTTATAAAAAGTTCAGGAGGAGTTACTGGAAATATTCATATTTCCTTTTAAAGGATTTTTTTAAAATTCCAGGGCTGTTTTGTTAAATATTGGTTTCTACTGTGTTGCAAATCTTTTATAAATTCTTCATAATCAAGTCCCATGCTTAGAACCTTCTGGCGTCTTGGGTTTTGCCTTGTATTTTTGTATCCCTGACTTTATTTTAGCATTAGTCTTAATGTATGTTCGCATTGGCATAGACTTGGACTTTACATTTAAAACTTGCCTTCAATTCCACCCCTCAAATTAATTTGCATTATTCTTGGATAAAAAGTTATATATTTAGCATTCATTCTTAATAAACTGGTAAGCACTAGCACTGGAGATTCAGGCATTTATACTGTGTTGAATTGAATATTTTGGAATAAGAAATAAGACTGTATAGACTTAATAAGTAAATACACTAGAGATTATCACTTCCTTGTGAGTACAGTTATCTAATTATGTCCTAGAGCTTGTTGCTTAAGCCTAAATCAGAAGTGCTCTGACAACAAAGTCTAAAATGATTGTCAGAGACTTATCAACTACGTGTTTTTCTTTTCCCATTTTCTGTTCTTGGCTCTTCTATTGATCATTTGCATTTTTCTGATCTTGGTGTCTAAATAGCTCATAATCTATATGAAAAGAAATTACGCAGTTATGTTTGGAAGTCTAGGCCAGGGCAAGGGTCCTGTTGGCATACTGCTTGTTCACTTTAAGGACTAACAACAATTTGAAAGACCATAGAATCCAGGAATTGGGAAAATCTTCAAAAAGTCACTGAGTCATGGATGGGTGTATTATAATGGGATCTTGGAATATGAAGAGTTCCAGTAATAGCTTTATCATTTAGAGGCAGCATGCCCTTTTGGAAGAGGTTTTGTTTTGTTTTTACTTTTCTAAGCATCTATTTGCTCATCTTTAAAATGATATTATCTCCTTTAGGAGGTTGTTGTGAGGATTAAATGAGATAACAGATATAAAAATATTTCTAAATTTATAAAATAATTATATAAATATAAGGAAGTAGTACCAGCTTCCTGCTCCAAGCCACGGTAAAAAAAAAAAGATAGCTACCTTGATGTTGGGAAGGAACAGTCTCTGGGACTGACACAGTCAACTCAGAGATTTTGAGTAAGGCGTTTTTCTCCTTGGGCATCAGTTTTCTTATCTATCAGATTAGAAGTGAGGCTAAGTGAACTCTAAGAGTTCTTCCAGTTCTAAAGATCCTAAATGTACTTCCTTTCATTGTCACTGTATTATTTACTTATGATGCAGGTAACAAAATAGAAGGGAAAATATTTGTGCTCAAAGTGCAATCATAGAATTCTCCTTGTGAGTTAACTTACAATTAAGTCCCAAAGTGAGAATGAAGGGCCTTGATTAGTACCTCTTTACTCCTGAGGACTAGGCCTTCCTATTAACTATTTCTATTAAGTTATATTTGCTGGTCAGGTAACAATCTGAGAAGTGTCTGCTGTTCCTGTGACAGCAAAGAAATAGTTACACTAGTAATCTTCTTGGCATTAAGCCAAATACCTTTCACAAAATGGTATATAGGAGGTAGGTTTGAGCATTGAGTTTCTTCACATATCTACATTCATGGATTATTTCCTCCCAAAATATATTTGCTGCAGATATATATAAACATGTTACAAGAATCTGTTATGCTTATTTTTAACAGTAGTTTATATTTTCATTTAGTAAACATTTTATTGAGTGTCTACTGTATGCCAGATATTATGCTAGATACTTAAATTATCTCTAATTTTCTATAACATAAATGCCAGACGTAGGTCTCCCTCCTGGGGATGGAGATACATATATGGGAATGAGAAAACTGTTTATATTCTCACAATGACCTCTGGTTCTAGGTGGCTACATTTTGCTAAGTTTCTATTAAGTTTGTTCATTTTGCAGTTCAAAATAGGAATATTGCTTATTATCTTACCATGCTGCACATGCTATCTCTCTACTCCACACAGCATCCATTCAGGTGTGACAACTGGCCTCTTCTTCAATTTACACATATATTCACTTGAGGCATTTGTATACGAGGCAGATTTTAATGAAAGGGACAGAAGATCTTTTTGCAGCGTCACAAATAACTTCAGATTAACACCAAATAAATCATACCACCTGGGATATTTTTTCTTTGGACAGTTCACCTCACATAGAGGGAGACTTTCTCATTGATTACTCTCTTATCTTTCCCCAAACTCTCAGATTTCCTCCTATATCCCAGCTTTACTTCTGATTCAATTATGTGTAACATTTTAGTCCTTATTCCCTGAGTGAGCCTGGGGCTTGTCTTTGCATGCCTAGACTCATGTAGGTATATGCTCAGGGAAAAAACAGGCCTACCACTCTCAGAAGCCACCCTCCTTACAAGACAGTCGTGATTATAAACAGTCTTTTTTTTCCTAATCCATAATAAGTGAAAAGTTTCAGTAATTTAAAAAATCCTGCCTGCTATCAGATAAGTAGGGCAATTATTATGGTTAATTAAGTTTTATCTTTTAAAATACATTTAACTGAATAAATATTTGTTAATCCTCTCTAACTTTATCATTGTATTTTTAAAATAGTTTTTGTAATACCTATTCTTTTTTATTACAGAGACAATTAAAGGCAGATGCTAAAAAAGCTATTGGAAGGCTTCAACTCCGTACACTGAAACAAGGAGACAAGGTACATTTATGACTTGAAAATGCTTTTTGTTTTAAAGCAATGCTTAGCAAACCATTGCTAAAGCTAAACATTCTTCCAAAGTAGTCTTCTCATTGGAATTTGTAAATCTTACTGACTTTTAAAAATTTATTCAATGTTGTAGATCGGCTGAATAATGTTCCCCAAAGTTATCTAGGTTCTAATCCCTAGAACCTGTGAATGTTACTTTATATGGCCAAAAGGACTTTGCAGGTCTGATTAAATTAAGGAAGGATCTTAAAATGGGGAGATTATTCTGGATTATCCAGGTGGATTCTAAATATAATCACAGTATCATTGTTAGAGGGAGAAAGGGGGAGATTTGACTACAGTACAGTAGGAATTTTGACAATGGAAATGAGGTTGGAGTGACACAAGAAAGCAGCCATGAGCCAAGGAATGTAGACAGCCTCTAGAATCTGGAAAAGGTAAGGAAAGGTATATTACCCTGAAGCCTTCAGAAGTAGCACAGCCCTGCCAACACCTTGATTTTTTTAATTATGATTTCCAAGATAATGAGAGAATAAATTTGTATTATTTTAAACCTTTAAGTAATAGTAATTTGTTATAGCAACAACAGTAAAATAATACAGTGTTTCAATATAACTTTACTTGAAAAGGTAGGTTCAGATTTAGGACAGTTGAAAACTACCATCAATGTATAAAATGAGTTTCAAAAATATCTATAGAACTTATTGATGTAAAAATTACCAACTCAATAAAACAAAAATAAAAATGAATAAATTTTCTAGTAGCCACATTAAAAAAGTTTTTAAAAAGCAAATTATTTAATGTCTAATATAACATATCTAAAATATAATCATTTCAACATGTAATCAATACATAATTATTAATGCAATACTTTACATTTATATTTTACTAAGTCTTCAACATTTAGTGTATATTTTATACTTATGGCACATTTCAGTTCAAATTAGCCACATTCCCAGGGGTCAACAGTCACATATGGCTAGTGGCTACCATATTGGGCAGCACAAGTTTGAAAAATGAGCATGTTGGACTAATCATCTATAAGGTTTTCTCTATGCTATGTCATGTTATGTTACTTCTGCTGCTCTTCATTTTAAATCAGCTACAGTATGAAAGTGTATATGTGGCCTGTTGGTTGGTGAGATCAGGATGATAGAGTGATAGCAACTACAGCCACAAGTTTAAGCTTAACAGTAAGTAAGATCTGTGCTGATGTGTGGACGTGGCCTTTAATGTTATACCAATTTTTCATAAGTAGTGTAGGGTGTGTGGACAGAGTGGGCAGTTGCATAAATTTCATGGCATAGCTCAGCATGTTGTAGTAAGTGAAGTGATAAACAGAAAAAAATACCATTTATAATAGCACCAAAACCATTAAATACTAAGGTATAACTCTTACAAAATATGTACAAGATCTATATTCTGATAACTGCAAAACACAAAAGAAAAAAAGAAATCAAGGAAGACCTAAATAAATGTGCATGGGTCAGAAGACTCATTGTTATCAAAATGTCAATCCCCTCCCCAAAACTAATCTATGGATTCAATGCAGTTTTAATCAAAATCCTAGTTGGATCTTTTGTAGAAGTTGACAAGTTGATTCTAGGCTTATAAGGAAAAGCAAAAGAACTACAATAACCAAAACAATTTTTATAAAGAACAAATTTGGATGACTCACATTACCAGATTTGAAGAATTACTTTAACACTACAGTAAAGATTTTGTGGTATTGGAGAAAGGAGAGATCTTTTTTTTAAAAAAAATAAATTATCTTTATTGTTGAAAGTATTACAAGAACTGCCCTGGCCAGTGTGGCTCAGTGGTTGGAGAGTCACGCTCCTCCCCGCACCCCCAGAAGGATCTCAGATTTGATTCCCAGTAAAGGGTACATACTTGGGTTGCAAGTTCGATCCCTTGGCCCCAGTCAGAGGCATGTGTGGAGGCAACCAATTGATGTGTCTCTCTCACTTAAATGTTTCTCTCCCTCCTTCTTTCTCTCCCCCTCCCTCTCCCTCTCCCTCTCCCTTCCTCCCTCCCTCCCTCCCTCTCTCCCTCTCTGTCTAAAAAAACAATGGAAAA